ATTGGGATCAACATTGAAAACCCAAGTGAGGTTATAGTTCTTGTTGAGGTTTGAATCATAACCCATCGATCTACAGCTCTTGTAGATAGCAAGTGGTGCAACGTATGGTGGCATGTTATCGTATTGAATTGTCCTGTTGCTCCTCATAGTAATGCCTATTGAAGCACCATATAAGTAGGGAGTATCTTCATACCAACTTCTCATTAACCCACCTGAATCATTTTTCGGAGAAATGTATTGTCCACCAACATTGAGCCTATATGCTAACTCCATATTGTTTTCCTTTACAGATATACTTTGCTGAGTAATAGAATTTTGAATACTTGTACTGAATCCAACCATCAGAGGATCCGGACCATAAAATATATCTGGCGCGGTGATCATTTCAATTCCATTGATGAATGCAAATGATGAATCACCAAAAGGCTTAATCTTGATCTCCAAAGTTGGAGAACCCACAGGAGACAATAAGTACTCTTTGGTAATGCTACTCTGTGACAAGGCTTCTGCAGTTATATACGCGCTGAAATTATTTAACAATGTTACTTTACCAGCAGAAACAGTCATAAATGATTTTGAAATATTGAAATTAGGATAAGGCGTTGGGTTGAAACGAAGCCTAAGCATAACATGTGCTGTTTGGTTTGTAACAGGAAGATTATATGAAGATTCTGATTGAAAAACTCTTGCATTTGTATATGGTACAACAGATGGAGCCAAAGGGTCAGGGGATTCAGGTTGTGTCATGACTGATTTATCACCAGACACGAGATACTTCGTGTCTGATTCCCATTTTATCATATCTTCATCAACTCCACCATTTTGAGAACCACATGCTAAGAACAATGAGTTTTGATCATTGTTTAATGCAGCATGAAGCGAGCGAGGAATAGAAGAGATGTAACATAAGATCACTAGTAACAAAATGTGGGATAATTTTGTTAACATGGTTAACAAACGAAAGAAAAAAAGGCGTACAGGACAATAAACAATCCTGTACGCCTACGCAATACAAAGAGGAGAGGTTGGAGGTTTCTTTGCTTTTGGTACAAAGACCAGGTCATTTCTTGGCATCCATGAAACAAGTGTTTAGCTAATCAACTATAGGATGCTGGGAAACAACCTACAATGAAGAAAAGTTGAAAATTGTCAACTTTTTCTTTTTGTTTACCTTAGTTTTGCCATTATTAAAGAAGTTATGAATTAATGGATAGGAGTGAATATTGTGACCTTAAGCCTAGTGAACTCATTTGCTTCCTAAGCTAATGAGAACCTCAAGAGAAAATATTGGCCTTGAGTACTATTCGCAATATCCTCTATAATCAATTATTATTATTTAATACAACAAATTTATTCACATTAATTTTTTAGAGGGAAAAGGCTCAAATATGCCATCGAATTTTGGGAAAAGGCTCATTTATGTCATCCGTTAAAAGTTTGGCTCGTCTATGCCATTTACGGTTGAGAAAAGGCTCATCCATGTCATTATTTATTAACCAAAAAAAAGTTTCGATTTTGCAAAACCATTTTCTTCGCAAGGTATGAGTAAGATTGTGGACACACCACTCTCTTCAAATTTTATTTGTGCAATTACAATAAATATGTTGTTGTAATGCAAATATTAGAATATATAAATATTGCATTCATCATTTAAATATAAAATTTGTAGGGTTCGTCGAAAACGAGCTCTTTCCCTTGGGCATATGTTGTTATAATGCAAATATTATTAGTAACAGATGGGAGACAACAAATTGTACTATAGTAAATAGCAACAATTAAATATGCCGCAATGAGATTAAATCAACCTGAAATATATATTGGGGTATGAGGTAAATATTATGAGTCTCATTTAATAAGTCACTTATTTCTCAAAACATTCCCATTTTTAAGTACATTTATCCATTTCATGTCAATTGATCAAGATATATGGTACATAAATTTTGTAGACAATGAAAGATTATTATTAATTTTTAAATCATCAATATTATAAATGTGTAAATTGAGATAACATAAATATTACAATATAAATCTTTAACTATATTCTATTACCACCTCACTTAATAATCACATGAATCACACGTTTTTAAAACATCATCATTTCTAATTAATTTCATGTAAGGATGATCAAGACACATGATACATAGATTCTATAAACTATAAAAGGTTACTATTGACTTATAAAACATCAACATTTTAGATGTGTAGCATGAAATAACATAAATATTACAATATGTTTAACTATTTTCTATTAGAGCTTCACTTAATAAATCACTTGAATCACTCGTTTTCTAAAACATTACTATTTAAATGTAGTTATTCATTCGATGATTAAAACACGTGATACATGTATTCTATAAATTATGAAAGATTATTATTGACTTACCTATCATCAACATTATAGATGTGTCTTGTAGTATATCTAATTATTTTTTGAGCGTCTTACTTAATAAATTACTTGAATCACCTGTTTTTCGAGGCATTATCATTTCTAAGTACATGTATATAATTTAATTTGTGTCATATAATTAAGATACATGAATACATAAATTTTATATATCATTTTGAGATATCATAAGATATTGTGGCATCTATAATTATTCTATTAGTAATTCAGTAACTAAAACAAACGCAATCTATATATGCATCAATCTCTGATTTATTTATTTTTAAACAAATTAAATTAATTTAAAATACCATAATATTGCCGCAACTGTAATTATTCTATTAATCGCAAGCAATAACTAAAATATATCAGACAAGCTATATATATGTGCCAACTCCTGATTTCATTCCTTTTAAAATAGTTCAAATCAATTTTAAAAATACCATAAATATTAGGGCATTTCTAACTATTTTATTAATGCCTCCCACTTAATAAATTACCTATTTCTCAAAACATTATCATTTTCGAGTCCAAATATTCATTTCACATAAGATGGTCAAGACATGTTATACATAAATTCAATACACTATGAACTATTGCCTTATAAATCATCAACATTATAGATGTACAACTCATATTATAATATTTTTAATTATATTTTATTAGCGTTTCACTTAAAAACTCATGTTTCTTAAAACAATACTATTTGTGAGTACAATTACTTATTCATATCGGATTATGATGATCGAAACACATGAAACATAAATTATGTATACTATGAATGATTGTTTTTATTAACTTATAAATCATCAATATTATACTGTAAATAACACAAATATTGCAGCTAAAACATACAATATAAGCAATATTTGTTTTAACTCTTGATTTTATTTTTTATGGAACATATTAAATCAACTTAAATATTATAACTATTACGCTATGTGTAACTATCCTATTGGTCCCCAGTAATAACCAAAACATATTGTGCAATTAATATATACTTCAACTTATGATTTAATTTCTTTTGAAACAGATCAAATTAGCTTGAAATATCATAATGTTGCGGTATCATGTAATTATTCTATTAGTCGTGAGCAATAACTTAAATTTACCATGCAATTAATATATGTGTCTAAACCCAAGTTTTATTTCTTCTGAAACATGTCAAATTAATTTTGCAATATCATATCTGAAACTATTTTATTTGCACGAGCAACAACTTAAATACACCATGCAAGCAATATATGTGTCAAATCCTGATTTTATTTCTTATGAAACCAATTAAATCAACTTGAAATATAATAAATATTGCGTATATATAATTATTCTATTAATCACGAACAACACTAAATAATAACATGCAAACAATATATACGTCAACTCTTAATTTTATTTCTTTTGAAATAGAGCAAATCACTTGACATTTCATAAATATTGCGTATATATAATTATTCTATTAATCACGAACAACACTAAATAATAACATGCAAACAATATATACGTCAACTCTTAATTTTATTTCTTTTGAAATAGAGCAAATCACTTGACATTTCATAAATATTGCGTATATATAATTATTCTATTAATCACGAACAACACTAAATAATAACATGCAAACAATATATACGTCAACTCTTAATTTTATTTCTTTTGAAATAGAGCAAATCACTTGACATTTCATAAATATTGCGACATTTGTAACTATTCTATTAGTCGTGAGCAATTACTAAAATGTAATATGCAAACAATATATGCGTCAATTCTTGATTTATTCTTTATAAAACAAATCAAATCAACTTGTTTTCTTGAAATATTATAAATATTGCCGCATCTGTAACTATTTTATTGATCGCGAGCAATATTAAAACATATCATGTAGTCAATATATGCATCAATTCTTAATTTCATTTTTAAAAAAAATAGATCCAATCAACTTGAAATGCCATAAATACAACGACATCAATAACTATTCTATTAATTACGAAAAATAACTAAAACATATCACGCAATTAATATATGTGTCAACTCCTAATTTTATTCCTTTTGAAACAAATCAAATTATCAACTTAAAAATTTCATAAATATTGTGACTATGAGCAACAACTAAAATGTACCATGCAAGTAATATATTCATCAACTCCTAATTTCATTCCTTTTAAAACAGATTAAATCAACATAAGATATCATTAACTATCAAAAATTATTTTTAATACAATTATTCATTCTACGTCATATAATCATCATTCTAATAATTATAAAAGATTATTTTTGATTTATAAATCATAAATATTTGTAGATGCATAAATATGAAAAATAATGTAATATTATAACATCTTTAACCATATCTTACTTAATAAACCATCCATTTTAATAGCATTATCATTTTTCAGCATCGATTTGTAATTCATCTCATGCATATCACATTATCAAAACACATGATATATTATTAATTTTAATTTATTAACATATAGATCAATAACAATAACATTTTGAACGAAATTTTATAATTTAACAAAAATATAATACAAACCTTATACTTGAGAATAGAAAAAAAAAATTCGAAAAATCTATACACATATGGTTTGCATTAAAACACAACTCAAAAAGTTAGCTTCATTCCAAAACCCAGCGATGAAGAAGATGAAGGAGTGAAACGGTAGAGATGAAGATGATGAGTAGATTTGGCAATCGGCGAGTCCAGCCAATTTCAGTTTGGCTAAAAGCCAATTCAAGAAGAAAAAACTGATCACATTGAGAAAAAACAAAAAAAATTAAAAATGGTAGAGATTACGAGCATCTTCATTGTCTTTACTACAACTATTTCATCAAATTCAGCAACACCCATTTGTTCTATTCACTACCCTAATCCTACCCCATTCAGAAAAAACCCATCTTTTTTTCCGCCGACTCATACCATCCTTCAATTTTTTTCATCTCTTTGGAGGTACTTTTTTTTTTTTTTTTGCTTAATCCAACTAATGTGGTTGCTTTTTGTAACAAGCTGTTGATTGATTGTGCTTACTGTTGTAACAAGGTGCATTTTTTTTTTGTTTTTGGTTGTTTATCAGTTGCCTGAATGTTTATTCATTTGTTTCTGTTGAATTGAAGTTTCTTGGGATGTGGGTGTGTGTTGATTAATGTGTTTGTGTTCTGGTATGTGAGAATTCTTTTGTTGTTGTTGTTGTTGTGGTGGTGGTGGTTTTGCCTTTGAAGGTTTGTTGTGTTTTGAGTGTTCTGTGCTTAGTCATTTGTTTCTGTTAAAATGAATTTTCTTGGCATGTGGGTGTGTGTTGATTAATGTGCTTGTGTTCTGGCATGGGAGAATTCTTTTTTGTTTTGTGAGTTTTCCTTGTGTTTGAGTATTCTGTTGGTAGAATTTTGTGTAGTTTATATGTTTAGATTCGATTGTTGAGCTTGATTTTAGTTCATTGGCTCATATATGTAAAATCGTGTTCTTTGATTAGTGTTTTATGTGGCATGCTAATGCCTTGTTAATCCAGTTACTTTGGTTTTTTGAGTAAAGGGTTTTGTGATCTAGTAGTTTTGTCTAAAATTTCAATGTCATTCAGGTGATCTTTTGATTTCTGTTACTATATGATGTTTCTTGTACTTTGATTATGGTATTATTTTGTTGTAGTTACTGTTCGGTATGCTTTGTGATGTTTTCACTTCGGTTTACGCTTTCTGGATTGCTTTGAACTGTTTATCTTGGGTCTATCAAAAACAATCTGTCTACTTCTCAGGTAGGGGTAGGGTCTCTTTTGTGGGGACTATACTAGGTATGTTGTTGTTCGGGTGATCATTTCAATTTATTGATGATATATTTACATCTTGGCCTTCCATGAGGTGCAGAGATGTTTCCCAGTGCTAAAACCTGGATTTTCAATCTTTTTTTGGTAGCTTTTCCTTCATTTTTCTTGCTGAACATCTGTTTTCTCTTCATGTTTTTTCTGTTAGAAATGGTTTTCCGCAATTGTCTAATAAAAGTTGTCTTTGCATGCTTGTAGTTTAAAGTTGGTGCAGCAATTTCCAAGTTTATCTTGTATGGTGTACTTTTAACAATCTAATTGGTACACATTTGCTTGTGGTAGCACAGATCTTCTCATACATCATGGATGACAGTGATGGTAGTCGATGCAAAGGGCTCATTTCTACTGTTAGAAAGAAAAGAAGCCAGACGCTGCGGCGACCTAGGACAGAGAATTTGACAGTTCCTGCATGCCATGTTCACTCACCCCAGACATCACTTTCAGATAGTGCCTCTAGCGATGAGTATAGTGATGATGCTAATGCAGGAGGGAGAATCGACAACCTCAATTACTCTATATCTAGAGATTCTTCTGCTAACAGGTTCAAAGGTGATTATTCTTCTAAAAAGAACAAGGAGGATGAGGGATCTAGAGCGACATATGATAATGCATGTGCAGGAGATGATACGAATCCCAGGCATGGTGCGTCTGTTAGGCAGTTGGGGAATGTTAGGGACGGTGTAGCTAATGATAGCAAGCTGGAAAAGTTGAAGCTGAAAATTGGTGGAGCGACTGGCATTATTCAAACCAAAAACAGTTCTTATGGATCATCTGGCAGTTTATTGTCTTCTAAAAGTGCACAACCCTCTGATGCCTCTCAGCCTCGGCAGAATCTCACTCCTCAGGTTTATAGCACACTCGACTTAATCTTTGAATTCTCTAAATCCCCCGAATCTTAATTATATTTTGTCAGATATTGTCTAGTAGAAATTATGGTTGGTTTCGAGGAGAGGCCACATAAGAATTTGCCACCTGCTCCCTCCGTCCACTTTTACTTGTCCATTGTACTAATAATATATGTTCACCTTTACTTGTCCAATTTAGAAAATCAAGAGATAATTTATCAATTTATACCTTTTTTACCTTTATTATTTAGTACTAATTATTTCCTATTCATTTCCCAATGAGTGAGATACTTATAAGAAGTAGGGTTGATATTGTAAAACTATATTTTTATTTATTGCTTTTTAAGGGGTGTGCCAAGTCAAACATGAACAAGTAAACATGGATGGAGGGAATACTAGTTTCCGTCTAGTATCCGAAATATGGAAAAGAGAACACATAAAGCAACATCTAAATTTGGTTATTCTCAGGGGATGAATAATGAATGTGTGCGAGAAGCATTCTTTTTGGTTAGCTAATTTGGAGATTCACTACTTCCTTTCCAAATTAGTGAGCAAGAAAGTTAGTCATTGCAATTTCTTTAAAAATGCGACTTGTGATTATTCCATTGTTCATTTACCTATGTGTATGGCTATTATGTGACAATAGATTATCTTTTAATAATCCTGGTAATGCTGATCTTTCATTTGAATCGTCTCTCTGGGTTTCAGGACAATTCAACTGAAGACGGTCCTCTTGCAGATAAGAAAAGTAGGTCGAAAGGAATTTCGTGCAAGGGTTTCCCAGGAGGCACTTTTGGTGCTAGCAAAAGCAATATGAAGAAGATGCCAATGAAGAATGTCATTAAAAAACAAGGAGACCAGCCACATCAAAATCGTAAGGTCCACAGGCGAAGGAGGCTTATTTTGGATGAGCTTGATGAGGAGGATGAGATTCACTACTTGGAGAAGCGTAATGTGGGGGAAGAACTAACTAAGACAAGAAGTCTTTCCGGGGGTTTGAAGGTCGATAAGTATGAAATGTTGGAAGATGTTGGAAGGTCAGGCAAAGAAGTTAAAAGAATATCAAATCAAGGTTCTGAGTATACTGATTATGAGGAGGAAGAACTATTGTCTGATGGAGAGGCCAAGCGGACAAAGAAGAAGGATAAACAAATGGAGTCCTATGAGACACCGGTTGAAACAAAGAGTGAAATAAGTCTTACAACCCGTCCACGACAACAGGCTCTTCTGTCTGGCAAAGAAGTTAACAGAAAATTAAATCGAGGTTCTGAGGATCCTGATTATGAGAAGGAAGAACTATTGTCTGATGGAGAGGCCAAGCGGACAAAGAAGAAGGAGAAGCAAATGAAGGAGTCCTATGAGACATCGGTTGAAACAAAGAGTGAAATAAGTCTTACAACCCGTCCACGACAACAGGCTCTTCTGTCTGGCAAAGAAGCTAACAGAAAATTAAATCGAGGTTCTGAGGATCCTGATTATGAGAAGGAAGAACTATTGTCTGATGGAGAGGCCAAGCGGACAAAGAAGAAGGAGAAGCAAATGAAGGAGTCCTATGAGACATCGGTTGAAACAAAGAGTGAAATAAGTCTTACAACACGACAACGGGCTCTTCTATCAAGAAGGGATTCATCTGCTACTTCTGTGAATCAGATTGGGTATCCCTACGGTTGTCCTCCAGCACCACCTCAAAGTGAGAAAATTTTGTGTTTACTCATGTCTTGCAGTGTTGTCCCATTCCTCAAGCACCTTTTCTGATGGTACAAAATTTGTCTTGTCATCCCTGCTATTTTTGCAGAACAAAAGGAGAAGCTCTCAGATGTTGAGCAGCAACTGAAAAGAGTAAAGGCTGCTCAGAAACGTAGAATACGATATGAGGAGGTAGCTCGGGAATCAGAGGTTTGCCCTTGTTTTTGTTCTTGCTTTTGATGTATCACGTTTTTTTAGATTTTATGATGCTGAAATGAGCATAACTTGTTGAATCTTGCAGGCTGAGGCAATAAGAAAAATACTAGGTCAAGATTCCAACAAGAAGAAGCAAGAGAAAATAAAGAAGCAGCAGGAAGAGTTGGCACAGGTATCATCCCATGTGTTTGCTAGGCTGCAACTTCGTTAATGTTATCAAGCTAATGATCAATTAATTGTTGTATCCTGCAGGAGAAGGCTGCCAAAGAGCTTGCTCCAAACACTATCAGAACAGTTATGGGCCCAACTGGAACTGTTGTTACATTCCCTCATGATATGGGTTTGCCAAGTATTTTTGACTCTAAGCCTTGCAGGTAAGGATATCGTTGAGCCTTACTTTTTTATGATTAATATTCATTTAAGGTTCTTACTGTTTGTGCTTTGTGGTTTTGTTGCTATATTCCAGTTATCCTCCCCCTCGTGAAAAATGTGCTGGTCCTTCCTGTGTGAACCCATCCAATTACCGGGATCTGAAGTCAAACCTTCGTCTTTGCAGTCTTAAGTGCTACAAGGCAATTCATGAAAAGATGAAGGATTAAAAGACCTGCTAACATAGTTTAGTTGTGACATATGCAGGTTTTGTTGAGGAGAGTGCTATTATTACTTGTTGGTTACTGTTTTCTTTTGTATTTGTGAATTACTCCATGGATCATCTTCCTAAACTATTTGTCTGTGTTATGGTTGATCAAACATTTCTTGAACACTTTATTATGGGAAGTTGTATTCACTTTATATCGGTTTGTTGACTCCGTCTATTTCTTTTGGGTACGCATTTCATAAAATGCTGCTCCATTTAATTGATGAGTTCATAGCTATGGTTTGAGCTCTGGTAGTGCCATTCTTGTGACAAGTAAGCTGAGATCAAATTTTGAATAGAGTGGTAACAGTCAAGCTACTTTTTTTACACCAAAAACAGTAAAGCATTAAACAGTGATGTTGTATAGAACTACTTATCTTCAAAACATCTCTGATTTCTTTCCTTCCTTGACGGGTGATGGCCTAGGTAGGTAGTTGATTTTGAACTTTTGAGCTCGCTTGCTTTTCAAAGTCATTGAGTGTAATTTCATGTGACAAATCCTATTAACAAGAACAGTCAGGTATCTGATTGGACAGTTGCCAGGTTTTGCATGTTGGTGGTAGGTAACAAGTATTAGAAGAGTAGTAGGTACTGGGGAATCAGTCGAGTTGCACACCATATTTGTGAGGCCTGTTTTTGGATGCAAATGCCAAATATTGTCTAAGTCCTTTGTGGCTGTTTAATTAATTAGATTATAACTATATTCTATTTTAAGGGCCAAATCCAAATCTTAGAATCTAGTATAGGTGAAGAAGTAAAAGGCCACATGTATAATGCCATCACGTTGCATTTATCGTTGTCACGATCAAACACTTATAATTTAAGATTTCTCTCTCTAAAATAGGGCAATATAAGTCTAACTAAGAGTAATTAGTATCTAACAACAATGGTTAAGTTGCAAATATTAAACTATGTTTAATGTTAATTAGAATGCAAATAAACAATGCATAATGTCTAATTTTGATTGGTCAAACGCATAAATATTTGCCACTTGTTGTCTGGAATATGTGTTTGAAGTGTATATTACATATTTTTATAAGAATGACAAAAATCGACTTGATTAGTTTGATTTAACCCTAATATTTAGAAATCGACTTAATTAATTTGAATTCCTTCATAGAGATTAATTGATTATTATCGAGCCGTGAATTTCATGAAAATAGGAAAAAAATTCCTTCCTCTTTGGTGCAATAAATCTACGAATGTGCATAAATGGCGAACAGACTGGTATGATTGGATATGAGCGGATTAAATAAAAATAGTAAAGTGAACACAAGATAAATATCTAAATAACCTAAGACTCTCATAAAATAAAAACTCATAAAAAAAATTTAAATAACAAGCAAACAAATGAGTATTAGTAATATCGACCTATGAATATACATCGTCAGTGAATAATATGGATAGCATTCATCCATTTTTAAATGATCAGTTATTCAACACATATTTAATGGATCGAAAGGGTTACTTATTTTGAACAAACTTTCGCCAAATACTTAGGTGTGCATGCATTTCTAAATAAATTTAAGCCTAAAGATTAAAAAAAAAAGTAGAGTAATTTTTTTTTATGAGTTTTTTTTAGAGTAAAAAAAAGGGAATCTGCATGCATTTCGATTGACTATTCATCACTGTATATGGCTATCACTATGTTGAGTGTTAAATCAAATTAGGAAATCACTTAATCATGAATATATCTTACGTGCTATATGACCACCAAATTTGTTGAAAATAATAATAAAGTAAAGTACCGTACATAATTGGAATAAAAATTATACACACCAAATTCTTTAAATATCATATGTCAACCTTGTGAAAAGAATATCATCGTGACAACCACTTTATAATTTTTTGATCAAATTATATATACTCCTCATCCCTTTATGTACTTCTCAAATCCTGTTGCTAACCCAACTTTTTTTTTGTTCTTGTTAATTAAGTTTAAGTTACATTAAATGGGTTCGAGTTTGGAATTCCACCAACAACAACAACAAAAGAAGAAAGTCATTTCAGTCTCAGACGACTATGTTGTGAATATGTTAAGAGAGTCATTTCAATGCCTTACCATTATCCTCCTCAGCCTTCTCCTTCCTCTCTCCTTTATCGTCCTCGCTAGGCTGTCAGTCACTCGCTATCTCATTGCCACATCAGATTACACGGAGCCCGATACACTACTTGTCAAGCTCTTTCTCTATGCAAATCCTACTTTTCTTCGACTACTAACTCCACTTGTCAGCATTTCTGCTTTGACTCAATGCTTGACAGGACGAACTCTGTCTATTTCAAAATCTCGTCTTTATATGTCGTGGTTTTTACTTTTCACATTTCAAATTTGTGTGTGCATAGGCATAGAAGGTAGTATAGCTATTGGAATAGATGGTACTAGTTTTAGTCACGAAAGATTATATTTATTGACGAGAAGTTTGTTTTTCATGGGATTGCATGAGACAACGTTGTTTTGGTCCAAGAAAGTAGTGAAACCGGTGGTGGATGACACAATTTTTGGCGTTGAGACAGAGGATAGGTATGTTGAGAAGGTGGCTATGGCAATGAGTTTTGGTATTTTGTGGTGGTGTAAGTTAGGGGATGAAGTTGAGTCTTTAGTGGTTGTGGCTGAGGTGAAAAGAAACTTATTTGGTGGTAGTGTTGGTTTGGTTGATTTTGTTGGTTGGTGGTTGTATTATGTGACTGTGGCAATTGGTATGGTTAAGGTTGTGAAGGGACTAATTTGGCTAAATTTTGTGTTGTTTTGTGGGAATATTGTGGTTGATTCAGAAAATGCAGGCTGTTGTACAAGAAATGATGAAAAGGTCTAATTGTTTTGACATTTTCTGTTCCTGTCTCTGTTAAGACAGTTGTAATGTTGATTGTTAAACAGAATTTGCTTCGTCAAAGAAGGGGACATATATGTATTTTTTCTATTTCTGAGTTAAACAAATGCAAATACAAATATTCATTTCTTTTATTACCGACAAAGCCAAGGGTCTTCATATACTCTACCTTTAGACCCCACTTGTGGGATTTCATTGAGTTTGTTGTTGTTGTTATCGAGGAATCTGTTGGGTGTAGACCCTTTGGGCCAGCCACAGCTTTCAAAACTTGAAGACATGGGCCCGTTCCTCTATCCCTCTCCACTTAAATACCAGAGTTAGTTCGCTTGATGTAGGGCTTGAACTTGTATTCACAAACACAAGTCACTCAACATTTGCATGTCATTGTTCTCAGACAAACATTTGGCCTGCAAACTTTCTTTTTTGAGATTAACTTATCTCTTTTGTCATTTCTTTCTAACCATGACATTATGCCTTTTAAAAGTTTCTCATTGTCTCAAGCATAGAGTCCCAATGCATAAATCCTTAATATGATCTTGGCTATCTCAGTAAAAGTTGCTCTAAGAGATACAAACAATACAATTCTGTTAAGAGGACTATCTTTCATCTGGACTTTCTGCTTGTCTCAGCCATGGAAACAAAATCACCGCGGTTTCAATCTTTTAAACTTTCACCATGACCAGGTTATTTTGTTACGCGAGGACAAGAACTTCATTTTCATCCTTGTTGAGGTCATACTGAGTGTATTCCTTTGATATAAGTAAAACACAGGTTATTGAAGGCCAAACATCACCAAGACTAAAAATTTGACAAAGTCTCCACTTTAACTGGTCCTGGAATTGGGATCATGGATCAAATCCCAATCCCCACCATTGATTTCAGTGTTTTCCAGGGTGGTCACAATCATGTTCAAGAGTGTGGGAGAAATGAATTGATCAACAATGGCGCCGTAGATCCTTGGTTTGAATTGGACAGTGAGGATCTTGATTCTCTTTACACTGTATTTGACCTTAAATATCAAGATAATACATCAGACAAACAAGTTCAGTCATTGGAAGATCAGCAACAAAGCATTTCAGATCACTGGACACAAAGTGATGATTCTTCCAACATGGACTTGCCCCTGCAGCCTATCCAAATTCAAACGACCCCCAAAGCATCTAATGGGATTCAGCCTCAGGAGCCAAGGCTTGACAATTTCCATGGAGAGAAAACAAATTCCATTTCTTTAGCATCTTTGGAGCTCTTGAACAATTGTGGGAGATTGTTCAAGAAACCAAGTGAGGAAAACTTGAGCAATGCATTACTCAGCAACGAGGCTCGTGTAAGTAACATCCCTAAGTTGTCAACAGAAGAAATCTTACGAGTTGCTGGAGAAAGATATATCCAGTACTCCACCCAAAGGGTAGATGGTCTTTCTATGTTTATACATCCGTATGCTTCATCACTTTCGGGCCTTTCCATAGAGCAAACAAAGGACATGGAACTTGTTCACCTCCTTCTAGCTGCTGCAGAAGAAGTGGATCAGCAGCAATTTCATTTGGCTAGCCAATCTATTGCACACTGCCTGTGGAAGGCATCTGCTACAGGTAACATTGAATTGTGTTTCATGTTGTCTAAAAGCTTAAGCTATTAGAGAGAGTACACATTTACTAACTTGTTTATATCTTGAATAGGTAATCCAATCCAGAGACTTTGTTTCTATTTTGGTGAAGCTTTACAAGAAAGGATTGATCGAGAAATAAAAAGGTCCCCATGTTTTGAAAGAAAGTTAGGGTTTTTAAGCAATCTGGCATTAGGTAATACACCTGAATCCTTAACATGCCATACAGAAATTCCCTTCAGTCAAGTAATGCAATTCGCGGGAAATCAAGCAATAGTTGAAAATGTTAAAGGTGCAACCAAGATACATTTGGTTGACTTTAATATCAGAAGTGGAATTCAGTGTACAGGCTTGATGCAAGCTCTTTCAGAACGACGTGACTGTCCAATTGAGCTTCTGAAGATAACAGCCATTGGACACCAAGAAAAAGAGAAAATCGAAGAAACAGGCAAGAGATTACAAAGTTTTGCCAAATCCTTGAATCTTCCCTTTTCATTTGATATGGTCTTTATGTCTGACATGAAAGATCTCAAGGCAGAATCAGTCAATGTTAAAGCAGATGAAACTGTAGCTGTCTATTGTTACACTGTACTAAGAACAATGATCTGCAGGCAAGATTATTTGGACAACACAATGCGAGTAA